GCCACACACGCGCGCGCGTGCACACACCCGCGCCCGCGGGGTCACCCAGCGCCGCAAACACCCACGTGCACACACTCGTACCGGGTCGGAGAGTCGAACACCCCAGCTGTCACACGCAGCCATGCACGCTCACATGTCCTTCATTGAAACAGCCCGACGGGGTCCCATGGTGACATCCTCCAATCGTGTCACCGCCATGCACGCGCGGTCACCCAGCCACACGCGTGTCACAGTCTCACAATCACACTGTCACACCCGCTTACACGCCCAAGCCAGCCACTCGCAGGGGGGTCCCACATTCAGCACTATCACACACCCTCCCACCACACTGGGTCCCTAGCAGCATCCCAGTAACCGTAGCACCCGCAGCAACACCCTCAGACAGGGGCACGGGTGTCACACACTTACGTGACACGCACGATACCATCCACGGTCACAGTCTAATAGAGTCACGCAGGCCCATATAGCACGCTTCACGCATGTCAAGCACACCTCATCACACAGCGTCACAGCGATGCCCAGAGGACCACAGACCGGCACGGTGTCACCCAGTGTTACCCCAAGGTCATACGGAAACAGCACGAATGTCCCCCACACGTGGGGGCATATAGTCTCACGCTGTCACACGATGTTACATACGGGATGACACGTGGGGTCACCCACAGCCATGCTGTTCTTTGAGTCACACAGATACACAGGCACGCCATTACACAATGGCACACGCGCCCCTCCACCCTCTTCCCTCACTTTGTGCCCTTGCAGCTACGAGGAGGCCTTAGGCCCCCGTGAGTCACAGGTCAGCCTCCGTGCGCTGGGAGACCGAACCCGGGCGGGAGGCCGGTGGGCGTGGCCCGCACTCGCTCCGCCCAGTCCTGTGTGCGCAGGCGAGGGGGCGGGGTACTAGGCAAATAGGTTCCTTAGTCCCTCCCCGCCCCTGGTGCAGGCGTGGCCGCGTCTGGCCCCGCCTCCCAGTCTCAGTGGCTCCAGGAGTGGGCAGGGCCAGGAGCCCGCGAATCCGGGCGGACACTCGCCCCGCCCGCTCGCCCCGCCCACTCGCCCCGCCCACTCGCGCTTTGCCTAGGCATTTGGACACGCCCCTTCCTCGGCGCCCTGGGAGGGGGGAGAGGCGGGGCGGGGGCGGGCCTCCCCGCGCCCGGCCCCGCCCCGCCCCAGGCCTCCGCTTAGAGGGCAGAGAGCGCAGCCGGCCCCCAGTCGTTTCCCGCGCGTCCTGCGACTCCCGGGCTCGCCGTCCCACCACCCCGCAGCATGGCCGTCAAGAAGATCGCGATCTTCGGCGCCACCGGCCGGACCGGGCTCACCCCCCTGGCGCAGGCGGTGCAAGCTGGTATGAGCCGGGGTTGGGGTGGGGGGGGTCTCACATGTCTCGGGGTCCGCGGGCAGAGCCACGGGAAGGGGCGTGGCGGAGCCGTGCTGGTTTGGAGGGTCTAAGGAGCAAAGCAAGTGGCCACCAGGGCAGAAATGCGGGAGGCCGGGACACCCGACTTCATGAGCCCACGGCCGCGCCGTCGTCCCGGGGAGGCTGGGGACCGTTGTGAAACATTGTTGCTTCTGCCAATTCACAGTTCCAACTAGTTGCGAGTCTTATACTAAGGTGTCCGATGCTGAAAATCCCTACGGAATATATAGCCTCATCTTTCTCCCACGGACGGCAGGTGGGCTTGACCCTCGGCCATGGCGGTTAGCAGCCCCACGCTTAGCCTCTCTTATCAGCACACCCAGAGAGGACTTACTAGACCAGCACCGCCTTCGACCGCCCTTCTGGAGCGCTCACAGAGGGGCTGCTGTTGTTGGGGTTCGGCCAGGCGCTTCCAGCTCCGCGTGATCCCCTGTGGAGGATAAAACTGCCCCAGAGGTGTCATCTTTACCGGATTGCCAGGTCTTTCTTCCGCGATGCTGCTGGTGGCCATGAGCCACCAATCTTTTGTGTACTCCCACTAGGGGCCCGGCGTGGTTACCACTTAAGCTGCGAGTCGCAAGGTCAGTAGTTCAAAAACACCAGCCAAGAATGACAGTCTCAGAAACTCACAGGCGCAGTTCTACCCCATCCTGAAGGGTCGCTATGAGTCTGCGTGCCCGTGATGTAGTTAGTCTCGGAAAACACTGGGGAAGTTCTACCCCGTCCAAATGAAGTTACTAGGAGTTGGAATTGACTCAGCTCCCCCCACCCCCCGCGGTGGAAGTAGAGCCCTCAGGGTCCCTAGGCTTAGCACCCCCCACCCCACACACACACACCCTTGGATGCAAACACTGAGGCCCAGAGAGCGTGGCTTTTGCTCACAAAACAAATGGCGGTCCTGGGGTTTGGACTCAGCTATGAGTTGGTACTGACTCTATGCCAGTGTGTTTGTGTGTGTGTTGGTTGGTTTCACTCTTGGAGTGGGGAGCTGGGGGTATGTTGTGAATCCCTAAAGGGGGAGGGGACGTATGTTGTGAATCCCTAATGGGAAGGGAATCGCCCAGACCAGAATGAGTTTGGAGCCTCTCAAGAGGGATGAAAATTCGCATCAGCCACAGCAGAGGGGACAGGGCAAGGGAATAATAGTTCCTACCTGCCAAACACCCAACCCCCCCACCCCCAAGGGCTCAAACTTCATAACCTGCTGTAGGACCTGGGATTTGCAGATACGGGCCCCACCCCTGTTGGCCTCGGTGGGGACTCTGGAGATAAAGACTATCTAGGCACCCCAAAAGCCCTCCTTTGGGGAAGCCCTGCCTGAAAGCCCCCACCCTAGGTCCAGGGCTCGGCCCCTCCCCCCACCTCTCAGCAGCTCTCCTGGAGGGTGCTGACTAGGAGGGAGGGGACAAGCAGATTTGCTGATAAGCATGTCTGGGGGAGAAGGAAGGGGAAAAGAGGGAAATTGAAAGGTGCTGAGTCACCCTGGGATTTCAGAAGCTCTGGTTTCTACCCAGCCCGAATTCCATTTGTCCACCCTGCTGGTCACCCCAGGAACTGCGCGCCCCTGGAAAAGGGAGCCAGGCCTTCCCTCATCTCCTCCTGGTCTGTGACTCTCCCCAGAAGGGAGGGCTGGACCCTGACAGGGCTGGGGCTCTAGCTGCCTCCATGGCTCTGTGAGGCTGAGAGACAGCCAGGATTCTACTTGCCACTGTTAGCATCCTGCTGTTCTCATCGGACGCTGTCCAGTTGGTTCCGACTGGCAGTGACCTTAGGTACAAACAGACCCAAATCCTGCCTGCCCCTGCTCCATCCTCACAGGCTTGCTGGGTTTGAGCCCATTGTTGCCACCACGTGTCTATCCACCCCCTTGATGCTCTTCCTCTTTGGCGCTGTGCCTCCACCTTACCAAGCGCCTCGCTCTTCTCCAGGGTGCCTTGTGGTGGTGGTGGGTGTCATCAAGTAGGTTCCAACCCATAGCGACCCTGCAGAATGAAACGGGGTGCCTAATTCTCTGAAAGATGGGGGTGAAGCTAATAGCACTGACCCTGGGGGGCTCTAGTAAGGAACGGTTAAGTGCAATCATATAACTAAGGGCTCAGAGCCGGGTCTGGTGGGGAGAGAGTAAGACCGTTTCCAAGGCTGGACATTCTTGCGGGAACAAAAAGCCTCATCTTTCTCCTGAAGAGTGGCCGGTGCATTTGAACTGCTGACCTTGTGGCTAACAGCCTAATGCATAGGCCACTATACCTCCAGAGCTCTGTTGGGTTTCTAAACTCACTGCTATTGAGTAGATGCCAACTCATAGCAACTGTATAGGCAGGATGGACCTACCCCTGTGTGTTTCCAAAGCTGTTACAGGGAGTAGAACGCCCATCATTCTCCCGTGGAGCAGCTGGTGGGTTAGAACTGCTGACCTTGAGGTTAGCAACCCCAGGCGGCAGGGGGTCATAAGAATATTATATACCTTGTAGGGCAATCTGGCTTTTTCAAACTGGGAATCATAACGAGCTCTAAATATATTTAATTAATCCCAATGGTACCAGAATTTAGCAACATGCTAAATACTGCTTTTATGAAACTTGTGTGTCATATAGTGTCTATGAGGGGACTTCCAAAATTTGTGGAAAAGTGGGATTTAATGATCAATGATTCTTTCTAGAAACTTCCTGGAGCCTCCTTCAGAAAGATGGAGGTGCATGGGTGACAGCTGTGTCAACAGTTCACATTCTTGGCTGCTGACCAAAAGGTTGGGGGTTCAAGTCCACCCAGGGCTGCCTCGAAAGAAAGGCCTAGGGATCCGCCTCTGAAAAACCAGCCATTGGAACCCCTGTGAGCCCAGTCCTTTGACACCTGCAGTGTAGGTTTACCATAGGGCCCATTAGTCACGCCCTGAACAGTCCACCACCATCGAGGGACCTCATGTCCTAAGCTCAAGCTAGAGATCCGGGTCTGCTTTCATCAGCACCCCTGGCAGATGCCGAGGCGTCCTGAGGGCACTGAGGGTTAGGCATTGGAAGGCTAACCACAAGGTCAGCGGTTTAACAGCACCAGCGGCTCCCAGGTAGGAAGCTGAGGCTGTCTGCTCCTGTCAAGATTTGCAGCCACCGAAACCCTCTGTGATCTCTGAAGGGACGCGAGGGCCGTGGGTCTGGTTTTGGGTGGCAGATGCCAACCAGTGCCTGCACTGCTTCCCTGAACGCCCTTGCCTTCACCACCTGCACCCATGTGCCATTCCCTTACCCAAAGGGATCACAGATGAGGGCATGCTTGGGGTGGTGATGTGCATTTTAAGAGAGGCAGCAGCAGCTGCAAAAATTAAAAACACTTGTGCATGAAAAGCTACACCCCACACACACACACACACCCCACCCTCCCCTATCCCCCGAATGGGAGCAAAGCCTGGGTCTGGGCAGGGGCTTGTATGCAGAAACAGAAAGCGTTTGCAGGAGGAACCTCAGCCAGTGCTTGTGTGGCTGAGCTAAGACTGAAAGCTGGGTCCCTCAGGCCTTAGGGCCTTGCTTTTCCACTTCTAAAGGGCCAGGGCTATGATGAGGAATCTGCCCATCCCTGGACATGCAGGGCCTCTGGTTTATTCCAGGTCAGCACAACAAAGCCCGTGACAGGAAGCGCAAGGGCTAGGGGGCAGTGGAGGGAAAGGGGAAAGGGTGTTGCAGGCCCAGCAGACTGTACAAAGGCCAAAAGACAGGAACCAGCCTGGTGCCTGGAGGAACTAGACCAGGGGCAGGGGGGAGGGGGCGTGGGACCAGCAGGGACTGCAGGCAAGGGAGGGGCTTAGAAAGCTAGAATGAGGAGATGCCGCCATCGCTGCCATCAGCTTTGGGCGATTTTCATCACTGAAAAAGAAGCTTCCAGAAGTTCCCCACTTTCTCCCCAGTCGCCAACTACTCAGAGAGAGGGCTAAGAGAGGTTCAGGAACTTGTCTTAGCAAATGCCAGCAGTGGCATGCAATCCGACGGTACAGAGTACCAAACAAACTCACCGGCACCAACTCACAGCAGCCCTACAGGACAAGGGAGAATGACCCCTGTGGGCTTCTGAGACTCACTCTTAACGGGAAAGCCCCATCTTTCTCCCATGGAGCGGCTGGTGGATTCGAACTGCTGACCTCGTTGGTTAGCAGCCCAACCCATAAGCACGACCCCACAAGGCGGCTATGGCGCATGGGAGGTGCTCCAAACGTTTTTTTTATCCTCATTGTCATTGATCCAGAGTGTGACAATCTGTCATTTAGGGTTCATTTCCCAGTGTCGTAAAAGTTAATATGCAACGAAACATATGCCCATGGCTTTTGAAATAGATGATGGATACTGTATTATACTATTTAAGATAGGAGTATATTGACTTTGTAAAGCACTGCCCATCGGTCTTTGTTGTCAACCAGCCCTGTATCCATAGCTGGACCACACTTAGGTCAGACATGTCAGCCTGTGCACCACTTTTTCCGGAGACAAAGGGACTGTCCAAAAATAATTGGAGAGCCTTGTTTGGAACTCTGGAGGCTCCCTGAATTAAAGCAGCTACATGGAAACGGATTGTGGTAACAATTGTACAAGTCTGCTTGGCATGATTGAACGATGGAATGACATGATCTATGTCTTAACTCCCAATTAATAATAATTTTTTTTTAAGCGTTAACCTCTCAGAAACCACGGGGCAGTTCTGCCCCGTCCTGTTGGGTCGCTGTGCCCAATGAGTGGGCATCAACTCGGTGGCAGTGACTTGTGAGTTTTCTGCACTTGAGCTACTGGACGCGCAAGGCCTGGCCTCAGCCAAACCCTCTGGGAGTATGTTTCACCCAAGACACTTGGGATTTCAACACGAAGTCCTGACTCCTGAAAGTGAGGGGCAAGAGCGAGCACACAGACCTGGCCTTGTGCCGGAGGCCCGGTGGAACACCCTTGACCATGGACCCTACGGGACCACTGTCATGCCAGCCATGGCCAGTGCCTTTCCCTCTCCCCGCCCCTTGTCAGCTTAAAGCTGACTCCCCCCACCCCACCCCACCCCCCGGAGGCTGAGGTGTGTGTGGGGCCAGTCACTTCCTGATGATCACCCATGGGTCCCTTCAGAGAGACATGAACATTTCCTGGAATGTGGACGGTCTGGTTGCTGAGAAGCAGCTGCATTCTCGCCGTGGCCGGGACCAAGTGTACAAAGATGGTGTTCTTTTTTTTGTTTGTTTGTTTGGTTTTGTTATGTTTCCAAAAGCATTTTACTAGGAGCTCATGCACCTATCATACATACAGGTCCATACTTCCACCACATCAAGCAGCATTGTACAATGGCTACCACGATCCAGTTCAAAACATTCTCTTCCTTTTTTTTTTTTTTTTTTTTTCAAACCAACAGCCTTACATTATTTATTGTTAGACTTGATGAAGCAAAAAAAAACAAGGAATAAATCAGATTTGCCAATAAAAGATCATTTGATCAGGTGGGGACAAAAGTCTTAATGCAACACAACATGATTTGAGACTGGGAAAATGCGGTCATGCGTGCCATCCCTCAGGGGGCTCCTTACAGACCCAGCTTGGTTCTTCTCCAATGTCTTCTCTTGGAGTTGTACCTGATTTTATTACCGGTTTTCATTTGAATCCATTGGGGAATGGGCCGATTCTGTTTCTGTTTCTTGGCCAGGAATCTCTTGGTCCTAAAAGTCTTATGAGACGACACGGTGAAGTCGGAGCAACACCACGCTGAGGATGGCAGAGACACTGAGAGAACATTCTCTTTCTTCTTGAGCTCCTTGATATCAGCTCCCCTTTACGCCCCTCCCACCCAAAGATGGTGTTTTTCCATTTCCTTCACTGCTGTTCTCGGGGCGTTGCCCCTGGTGACCGGTGAGGCTATTCCTGCTTTCCATCATGACCTCAGCACATCTCTGATGCATTTCAGTTCATGGCCCTTGTTCTGGTTTGGGTTTGGGGGCACATATTGAGCCCTGGTGGTGTCATGGGTTAGGCATTGGGCTGCTAACCGCAGGTCCGTCGTTCGATACCACCAGCCGCTCCGAGGGGGAAGGAAGAGACTTTCTACTCCTCTAAAGTTACACAAGGGTCGACTTGCCGTGCGTGAGATCAGAGCGCTTGCCCAGGTGAAACAGGGCTAAACGCTGACAGTATGAGGGGAAATGCGTGCTGAAACGCTGAAAAAGAAATGTTTTCATGAAAAATGTTCAAGAGGGGAAGGTACGGTGGAAAGGAAACCGATGACAAGGATCTACATATAACCTCCCTCCTGGGGGACGGACAACAGAAAAGGGGGGGAAGGGAGACGTCGGACAGTGGCAAAATAATAATAATTTATAAATTATCAAGGGTTCCTGAGGAAGGGGCCGGCGGGAAGGGAGGGCAAAAGATGAGCTGATCCCAAGGGCTCAAGTCGAAAGCAAATGTTTTGAGAATGATGCTGGCAACAAATGTACACGTGTGCTTGACACGATGGATGGATGGATTGTGATCAGAGTTGTACGAGCCCCGATAAAATGATTTTTAAAGAAAGAAAAATGTCTTATAGGAGAGAGAAACTGGTGTGATAGCCAAGCATGGCCAAGAGAAAACGCAGTGTGAGGTGAATAAAGAAAGGGGGAGGTGGCAGGAAAACGGAGACTGAAATTAAGAGCAACGCAAAGAGCCTTTAGGGCAACGCACAGTGTGGATGAACCCAAGGCAGAGGGCAAAGAGTGGAAAAACGAGGGGGGGAAACAAAGCCAAGGTGGGGAGAGAGGAAAGGTTTCACCTGGTAGACTCTTGAAAGCGTCCCTTGAGCAGGGGTAGATGTTTGAGGAAAATCCCTGGCTGGATTTCCCCTTCCACCAGCTGTATTTGACCTGGGTCTCTCCTTGATTCGAACCTCATCGGACCCGAGTTTGTCTTGAGAACATGAATCCATATTTTCTTTGTCTCCAGAAAGCGCGACTGGTGCTTTTAGGGGCGGAGCTTTAGGATCCAGGTGCTGTCAGGTGCACACAAGCCAGTCAACTGTTAGTCTCATTGCAGTCATCTGTTCTGACAACGTCGTCATTCCCGTGAGCACATGCCAGCCGTCCTGACAAAGTTAAGGTCACTCAGCCCTACCTGCAGCTATTCTGCACACGTAATTGTGAAAGATCACGCCCTTGGAGCTTAGGAGCCGAGCTTGTTTGGAGTTTACCTTTTTGTTTAATTCGGAATAAAAAATATATTTGGGGGGGCGGTGGCGCGGGCGGGGAAGAGTTACACAGGCCACCATATTACAAGCGGATAAACAAGCTCATGAAAGTAGCAGTCGAGAGATCAGAAGACTTGTTGCTCTCCTGGCACCAAGCACCATGCTTAGTTAGGGTGAACGAGCTCATAGCATTGGGAGCTCGGACGGTCCAGGGCTGCAGCTCCTGGTCGCCGCTCAGGGTGGAACCTGTAACTGCCCGCAGAGACTCATCATGTCTGGAGGGCTATGTCCTTGCAGTCACCTCATACCCCTGGGGGATGACTGATAACGCTGGACGATTCTGTTTCTATGGGTTTTTGTTGGCCTGCTTTTACTTGGCTTGGGTTTTGTGATTTGTTCTTGAGTTTTTGCTGGGTTGCTGTCAGGTGTGCTGCTGTGGTTTGTGTACGCACAATAGCTCCACTGCCCTAAACAACCCCACGCCCCATCCCTGCATCCCGCTCCCACTCACTCCTAATCTCGGCCAGTCGCTGATCTGCGTCCTATCTCCTTGGCCTTGGCTTTGCCAGAACGTTATATCGCTGGAATCAGGCCTTAGCGGGCCTTTGCGGACTGGTTCTTTCCCATGTTGTCTTGGTGCACTGTTGAGTGGGTTCTGACCCACAGCCACCCCATGCACCACGGAACAGAAACCACTGCGCCGCCCTCACAGTTGTCCCTGTGCTTCAGCCGATTGTTGGGGCCACGGTGTCCACCCATCTGGTTGAGGGCCTTCCTGTTTGTCGCTGTCCCTCCACTTTACCAAACGTGATGTCCTTTCTCCTGACAACGTCCAAAGCAGGTAAGACAAAGCCCGGCCCTCCTGCCTCTTAAGGAGCCCTCTGGCTGCACATCTTCCCACGTAGATCAGTTTGTCCTGGTAGCAGACCTGGGCACTTCCAAAATTCTTCTCCCGCACCACAATGCAAATGCATCCATTCTTCTTCGGTCTTATTTACTCAATGTCCGATTTTCTTTTTCTTTCTTTTAATCAATATATATATATATATTTTTAATCATTTTATTGGGGGCTCGTACAACTCTTATCACAATCCATCCATCCATCCATTGTGTCAAGTGCATTTGTACATTTGTTGCCATCATCATTCTCAAAACATTTGCTTTCTGTTTGAGCCCTTGGTATCAGCTCCTCATTTTCCCCCCACCCTCCCTCACGAACCCTTGATAATTTGTACATTATTATTATTTTGTCATGTCTTACACTGTCCGATGGCTCCCTTCACCCACTCAAAATGCAATTTTCACAAGTGTTAGATCTCTCTTGGGAGCGAGAGACCTCGGTCCTTGGCTTCGGGAAAGAAAATTCACGCCGAAGCCTGGTTTGTGATCCAGGTGAGTTTGATGACAGTTAGAAGCAGTTTCGGGTTCTGCAGTAAATGGAACACAAGCCAAACAGAGTCCCAGGCACGGTTGCGGGACCAGAGCCTGGCCGTGCTGCAGTGCGTAGCAGCCGCTGGGAGAGGGAGCCAGAGAGAAACCTGGCCTTTTCAGTCCCCCGCCCCCCCTCCCCAATTGGGAGGCCTGGTCTATGATACTGGTCGACCCCATTGGCTGAATGAAATTCACCTGGCCTAGATGGGCCAACCCCGGTGTAACACCCACTTAGGTGTACCACCCCTTCCTGTCCGGGAGCTGGAACCTAACACAAGCCTATGGGACAATGGAAAATACCATCGCTTGGGGCAGGTGCATCGTAATCTTCAAAGGAACATCCTTGCTTTTCCGCACTAAAGGTTTTGTGCGGCAGATTTACCTAGTAAAATACATTTTTTTTATCTCTTGACTGGTGTTTCCATGAGCATTGATTGTGGACCCAAGCAAGACAAAATCCTTGACAACTTGAACCAGGTTGAGAACCACTGGTGTAGGTGGTCCTGTGGGGTTTTGATTTTTGTGATAATTCAACTGCCAAAGTAAACCTAAGTCATGCATATCCCAAGGGCAAGCAGATGGAGTCTGAGTTCCCACTGAACTCTTGGCCCGATCCAGTTTGATAACATCACCCTGCTCGAAGCTCACCTTCACAAACAGATCACTGAAGATAAGGGTGCTGCAGCACAGTGTGGTGAAGAAAGCAGATGGTGCTCGGCTATCAATCAAAATAGTGTCTGGGGTCTTAAAGGCTTGTATTCAAACGAGCAGCCGTCTAAATTAAGAGTCAACTAAGTCCACTTGGAAGAAACACACCAGCTTGTGTGATCCAGAGATGACAATAACAAAATCCAAATATGACAGACGAGGAAAGCTCATATTGTGACCACCCAATTTATAGAAGGCTAAGGAGGACAGGGGAGGCCAAAACCCACCTGCAGAGTGTCTGGTCAGATGAAGCCGCTGGCAGATCCCCTCGTCACAGGCCAGGGCCTCCAACAGTTTTACTGTCAGATTTAGGTTACTGTAGACTTGATTATGCTGGATCAAATCTAATACTACGTCGGTTGACCTCCCTCTTGACTCTTAACCCAACCCTAATTTGTTCTAAGCACAAGTATTTCTTGCGTGTTCCTTGACAAAAGTTTCTTCCTACCCTTTTTTTTTTGGTGGGGGTTCCAGGAGGGGGCGGGCAGAAAACCTGCTAGACAAATTCTCTAAGAGTTGTAACTCTTCCCTAGCTTTTTAAATATCAATGGTGGTCTTTTCTTTCTCGTTTTTTTGGATTTTTATCTTATTCTTATTATTTTATGCTTACTACATTATCTTGTTTTTGTTTTTTGTAGTTTCTGTTGGTTTTCCCAGTGTGAAGCACAGAGCAGTGGATGAATAGAGATACTAGGTGATAATAGCTGATGCAAAGGTTTATAGGAGATGTAGGGGCAGGGGGTGGGCTATAGGGGGGTGAGGGGACTTGGGGAGCAAATAATGAATGCAGGAGTGAGAAGAGAAAACTGGAATTGATTGTGATTATGCAACTCATTTTAAAAGCGATCTAACCATGTAAGTATATGATATGTTGTATTAGTTCAGGTAGACTAGAGAAACAAATTCATAGACACTCACGTGTATAAGAAAGGTGTATATACAAGAGCAGTTGAATATTGAGAAAACATCCCAGCCCAGTCCAGATCAAGTCCATATTCCCGATATTAGCCCATATGCCCGATACCAATCTATAAAGTCCTCTTCAGACTCATAAAACACATGCAGGATGATCACATGTCAGGGTAAACCAGCCCCTGACAATCTCACGGGTCCGTAGGAGCAATTGTATGGCTTTAAGATATACAGATCATAGTAAAGTCATAGAAGCTAGGAGAGAAGATGAAAAAAGGAGTCAAACATGCTCACCTCCAAGACGGCCATGATCTCAACAGCCAGGTCTGAGCAGAGAGCTGGGGAGAAGAGGGGAGAGAGTGTGTACTTATTTCTGACCAAGGTCTATATATACGTAGGGACATGCAAGTCCCCCTGATTACAGGTAATCACATAAATCACAAGAAGGGGATGATCTAGGGGTGTACACACATTGGAAGGGGAGGGGCTAGGGGTACACATGTGACAAGATGGGTGGACCCTAGACTCAAGATGGCAGCCTAACCTTGGTCATTCTTTTTTTTTTAAAACATTTTATTAGGGGCTCATACAACTGTTATCGCAATCCATATACACATCAATTGTGTAAAGTGCATTTGTACATCATTCTCAAAACATTTTCTCTCCACTTAAACCCCGGCATTAGGT